CTCAGACAGGTCACTGGTGTGCTTACCAACGTGGCCTTGAACTCGCTGAGGCAGCCCAGGCTTGAGCTTGTGATTTGCTGCATAAGCCTCCCAGCTGCTGGGATTACAGTGTGTACCACCAAGCCTGGCTTCCTCCACTCTGTTTTTGCAGTACCATGCTGGGGACTGAACCCAGGACCTTTGTGCAGAGCTGTATCCCCTAGCTAGCCTCTTTTCTTTCTTTTTTTTTTTTTTTTTTAGACCGGGTCTCACTATGGGCTCAGGCTGGCCTTAAATTCACTAAGATTCTCCTGCCTGATCCTCTTGCCTCAATCTCCCTAGTGCTGGGATTACCTTTTGCTTTTTTTTTGTTGTTAGAAGAAACATTTTGCTTTTTTTTTTTTGATTTGGGATTACAGACATGAGCCACCACAGTTTTTTGTTTGTTTGTTTGTTTGTTTGTTTTTGAGACAGGTTCTCACTGTGTAGTTCAGGTCAGCCAGAAATCACTATGTAGCCCAGGCTGGGCTTGAACTCACTGTGATCTTTCTGCCTCAGCCTTCTAGGAGCTGGGATTACAGGTGTACGCCACCACGCCCATCCATGCCTTTTTTTTTTTTTTTTTTTTAAAGAGACAAGATCTTACTAAGTGGCTCAGGCTGGGTTTGAACTTGCAGTCCTGACTCAGCCCTCCAGAGTGTTAGAATTAACAGCCTTGTGCCACCACATCTGGTTCCTCAATTCATTTTTTTTTGGGGGGGGGTACTGGGAATCGAACTCAGGACCTTGTGTTTGCCAGGTAGGCACTGTGCCACTAAGCTATATCCCTGGCCTCCTCAATTCATTTTGAAATGGAGATGATAGGCTGCTAAGAACTTAATTCCATTGCCTAGATAGGATTTGTGATTTGGTTCCTGTGATGTGGAACAAACCCTAAATCCAGGTCAAACAATAAATAAGGATGTGATTATGTCTTTGTATAACTTAGGGATAATGTATGAGAACAGTAGTTGATGGGGTCCCTTCATTTTATTCTTTCTCCTTTCTGTCTTAAGAGAAATTTTCAGTTTGTGGTAGCACCAAATATGATTCCAGTGTAGCTGCACTTACCACTCATAGTGCATTGTCCGAATGTTACGGCATCTGCCTTTTCTTGGGAAAGGACTTCAGTGGTGTCCAGCTGGAGTCCATTGGAAGTGGCCTGGGAAGAGAAGTAGAGAGGACAGTCAGCTGTCTTGGACTAGTTTTCCTCACGCCCTTGCTTTGCTGGGACCTGGAGAGTATGCCTGGGCTGAGGATTTATTTTTCAAGTGTTTAAAAAAATAAGAACAGAAAATAAGCAAAAATGAAATATTAGCATAACCACACACAGTTTGGAAGAAAAAATTTTACTTGCAGTCTTTCCTTTTTTTGTCTTTTTCTCGCTATGCAGTTTAGGCTGGCTTTGAATTCACAGCAGTCCTACTGCCTCAGCCTCCTGAGTGCTGGGATTGCAGGGGTGCACCACCACACCCGGCTCTTAACCCACAGTCTTTAAAATGACCTTAACTCTAGCATCACTCCCCTGTTTTCTTCCAGATGGCCCCATCTTTTTGCGCAGTTGCAGTCAGAGCACACTTGCACAGGGTGGTGGTGCCAGGGCTCCCTGCATTCCTGGAGCTCGGTCAGTGGGCTGTGGTAGAACAGACCTTTTCCTGTTTGGCACTGACTTTCCGGCACAGCGGAGTCTAGGATAACAGTCCTTGAGAGAACTAGCTCTGCGCCTTTCTCACACATCCCACACTCTCATCGTACCAGCCCCGGGAAGAGGAATCTGTGCCTGAGATAGCCAAGCATTTGCTGGCAGCTGCAGTTTTCTGTAAGAGAAGGGTGATGTACTTGGGCCTTAGATAAGGGTAGGTCATGTTGTGTGGCTCTAATTGTGTATTAAGCAAAGATGAGCTATTCACAAGGTAAACTGTACTTGTCTATGATACATTGTTCATTGTTGCCATTTTGTAGTGACAGTGTTTGGACTCTCTCTGATACACAATGCATACTCATTTCCTTTTGAATATTGAAATTTTGCTTATTTTTGGTACATGAATTGGAAGAAGCCTGGAAAGAGTTTTACTTCCCGTTTTTAAGTAGCTGTTGCTCATTTGTTTTGCTTACTGTTCGATAATGATAACATTACCCTTCTACAGACGAGAAGGCCAATATGTTTCTTGAGGAAAATAGGCCAAGAGAGCTTTTTCAGAGAGAAGCTTCCTTGACAAAACCAAATCTTCAGCGAGCTAGCCTCACACCTTTACTCACACCTTTGCGACCAGGTAAGAAAGAAAATCATAGAGAAAAGCTTGACAGAAAGGTGGGACAGTATTTTAGGAGCCTGAGGAGTGAGGAAATTACCTAAATGCTGTATCTCTTGGTAACATGGACTAATTCATTTCACAGTGAATATAAAGGTGACCATGTGCTATGGGTTTAAAAAAATATCTGTTGAAACTTGAGCTGACGTAGAATTTTATAGCTAACCACATAACTGTTGCCCCTCTCCACTTTTTTTTTTTAAAGTACGGTGGATTAAACCCAGGGCTTTTACACTGAGGTACATCCCAGCAATTTTTTTTTGGGGGGGGGGAGACAGGGTCTGGCTATGGAGTTCAGGCTGGCCTTGAGCTCACTCTGTAGCCCAGGCTGGTCTCGAACTCGCAACGATCCTCCTGCCGCAGCCTCCTAGCCCTTTTAAATGTTTTTTATTTTGAGAGTGTCATTAATTTGCTAAATTGCTGGGACTGGGCTGGAACTTAAATCCTCCTCCTTTAGTCTCTCGGAGTGCTGAGTTTACAGGTGTATGTCACCATGCCTGGCCCATACCTGTATCTTTCTTGTGCGAGGAGTTAGAACTGTTTGGCATGTTTTGTTCGGCACGCGAAATTCCTGTGCCTGTCTCCTCAGGTGAATTTTATTACTGTCGGTGTGGTGCGCTTTTTGTTGCTGTGATGCTGTGTGTGTGTGTTTATTTATTTGCAGTGCTGGAGACTGAACCCAGGGCCCTGGCACTTGAACTGTATCCCCAGCTCTCCTGCGCTGTCTCTCTCATCTCCCTCTCATCTCTATAGGATCTCACTAGATTGCTAAATTTCCCAGGCTTGAGTCTGAGGCCAGCCTGAGCTACATAGTAAGTTCAAGGCCAGCCCAAACTATATAGTGAGACCCTGTCTTCAACCCTCCCTCACAAACAATCCCCAGGCTGGGCTTGAACCTGGGGTCCCATGGCTCGCCCTCCCGCAGTGCTGCGGTGGGATGGATTGCAGGGTCTCGCTGCCGTGGTCTTTGTGCTCTTGAATTGAAAAGGCGAGGGTGTTGCTTACTTTATGTGCACGATTTTCCCTTTAAGTGTGTGTGACCCAGTGGTTTGTATCACTAAATAGAACAGTAAACTCCAAAGTAAAAGGTTTTGCTTGGCAAAGGTGATGCATACACTTACATGCATGCCTGTTAGGTCTCTCAGAATCTTTGTATTCTTTCTCATTAATTGTACATTCGCACTTCTCTACTAAAATTGTGGACTCTGCCTTCTGACTGAGAAGTCCCTACTCATCTTCAAGGTCAGCTCTGAGCCTCTTGGTAACTGATACCCTTTGTGTTCTTCTCATTTTGTGGTACTGATTGGACCCCATGCCTTTTGCTTTGTTTTCTGAGACAGGGTCTTGCTACAGGCTGGCTTTGAGCTCTTTGTAGCCCAGGCTGGTCTTGAACTTGCAATGATCCTCCTGTCTCAGCCTGCCAAGTGCTGGGATTACAGGCATGTGCCACCTTGCCCAGCTTCCCCATGCCTTTGTATTGAGCAATATCCCCGAGATTTTTATTTTGAGATAGTATCTTGCTAATCACTCAGTTGCCTGAATTTGGGATCCTTCTGCTTCAGCCTTCCAAAATGCTGGGCTTTACTACTGTGGGACGTCATGGCTGGCATTATTTTCAGTTCAGTTTGATAAATTAAAAGAATTCTTCTGCATCTTTGTTTATAAGGGATCTTGGCTTTTTTGTGTGATAATCTGCCTTATAGATTGAGTTGCAAAATACTTCGTTTTAGTTTTTTAGAGGAATTTGTGTAGAATTGATATGTCTTTCTTAAATCTTTATTTGTAGAATTAACTAGGGAAGTCATCTGGGTCTGGACTTTCATTGTAGAAAGGCTTTTAACATAGAATTCAATTGTCTTAACAGGTATAGATGATCTTTTTCTTTTTATGGTGTTAGAGGTTGAATGCAGGACCTCATGCATGCTGAACATATGCTGTATCATGTAGCTATACTCTCAGATACAGATCTTTTCCTTTTTGAGGCTGTGGTAGACTGTCATTCAAATTGCATATGTACTAGTTCATAAGATGAACGTATTTTTACCTAAATATCACAAATATGTACAAAATAAATAGAAAATAATGAATTAAAAAGAATTTATAGGCAAGAAGATGTCTATAGTATTTCCTTATTGTCCTTTTTAATATTTATAGATTTTATAATGATGTCACCTCCCTTATTCCTTTTTTTAAAATTTTTTTTTTCCTGGTACTGGGAATCGAACTCACGACCTTGCGCTTGCCAGGCAGGCATTGTGCCACTGAGCTAAATCCCCAGCCCCACCTCCCTTATTCCTAATACTGGTAAATTGTGTCTTTTTTATTTCCTGGTCAGGCTGGCTGGGGATTTATTGCTGTTACTGATATGCTCAGAGAACCTGCTTTTCGCTTCACTGATGTATTTCTTTGACCCATGTGTTATTAAGAAGTATGTGACTTATTCCAAATATTTGAGAAGGGTTGTCTAGAAATCTTTTCTCTTTCTGCTGAGAGATTTAATGCCAGTGTGGTCAGAAGCATACTTCGTGTGACTCGAATCCTTTTAAATGTGCTGAAACATGTTCCCCTGGCTCAGTGTGGTCTGTCTTGGTAAGTGTCTCACTGTGCTTCAAAACAGTGTGGAACCTGCTGTCTTTGCGTGGACAGTTAGAGCTCAGTTAGGTCAGGTTGGCTGACAGTGAGTTTACTGTTTGTTTTGGTTTGCAGTGATTTCTTTCCCTTGAAAGCTTTCAAAAGTTTTATTAGGGTTCTGGTGCTCTAAAATGTGATGAAGATGTGTTTGGCATGCTTTTCCTCTGAGTTTATGACATGGTATCTGAGGCTGGCAACAAGCTAGCAAGTATTGGTCATGGGTCCTTCATTTCTGCTTCAACCAAAGTAGTTCTTTTACAAATTTTTAACTGACATAAGTATACATATTTATGGGATAGGGTGTGATAATTTGATACACATATGCAATGTATAAGCAAAGTTAGGTTTCCTTTGGGATTTGAGTGCTAATTTTTGGTCTCCCACAGTTGAGAACATTTACCACAAAGAAGCAGAAAATGTAAATCTTACGGAACACTGTAACTCATCTCATCCTTCCTGCACCCTGAAAGTAGAGGGAGCCAAATCAAGAGACACTGCAGCCCAGCCTCAGAGGTGAGACCGAGTGGGGCCCAGATGTGTTTATAATAATGATGTTTAAAACCACTATGCATGTGATAAAGCAAAGCAGTATGACGAACACCGTGATACTGTAAACACTTTCTGATGCTCGGCAAAAATGGCCTTAGTGGAGCTGTCCTTCCTGTGGGTCTAGACTGTGAGAGACGATGTCAGAGTTGTGGGCTATGAGCTGAATTTATAGATAAGGGCTCAGAAATAAGGGCAAATTCATTGCAGAGTGCAGGTTCAAATCCTAATCAGTCAGATGTAGTTGTTCCATCTTCCTAATGTCAATGTCTCTCCTTTTTTTTGTCTTTTTGAGACAGGATCTCACTGTGCAGTTCAGGCTGGCCTTGAGCTCACTTTGTAGCCCACGCTGGCAACTCCCAAGGATCCTCCTGCCTCAGCCTCCCAAGTACTGGGATTAGAGGCATGCACCACCACGCCCGGCCTATGTTTAGTGTCAAATTGTCATTCTTGTCAACTCCCAGCTCTCTTGTTCAATTAGTTGAGCTTTTAGGGTGTATTGTGTGTTCAGGTTGGTGTTAGGTACTGTGGGTATCCAGGCAGATGTGTGGTACATTCAGAGGCTTTGTGTCATGCTTGGGGACAGAAGATTGCTGCAGGTGACAGTCAGACCAAGACAAAACAGGATCTGAATGCTCTGCACAGTTTTTAGGGGTGAGGAAGATCAGTGAGGCCTGAAACGGGCAGGAGTGGCTGGTGAAGTAGGTGGTGCACAAAGTGGCTCTTGAGAAGCAGTTTGGTTAGACTAGAGCAGTCTTTGGATATGGGAATCAGCCACAAAATGTCAATTGATTGGGTAGACAGAAGGCACTACAGAATCACAGGTATGCAAACTTGGCTCGTGTTCAAGTAGGTTGCTAAATTTCTTTGAAAATTTTTTTTTTTTGTCTTTCTGAGACAGGGTCTCACTATGCAGGCTGGCCTTGAGCTCACTTTATAGCGCGGGGTGGCCTCAAACTTTCAAGGATCCTCCTGCCTCAGCCTCCCGAGTGCTGGGATTACAGGCCATATGCCACCATGCCTGTCCCCTTTATTATTATTATTGTTATTATTATTTTACAGTTAGCTATTTTAAGGTGAACGGTTCAGAGTTAGTGCATTTACAGTATTGTTTAGCTATTGTTTCATTCTAGTTTTAAAACATTATTTTACCCCAAAAGAAAATCTTTACTTTACTTCTCATTCCCTTCTCTCACATGGAATCGCTTTCTAAGTTACGGACTTATATGTTATAGATATTTTATATAAGTGGTACCATAAAATGTGACGTTTTTTCTTTCATTAAGACAGGGTCTCTCTATGTAAGCCAGCTGGCCTTGAACTCTTGATTTTCTTGCTTCAGCCTGCCAAGTGCAAGGGCTGAGATTACAGGCATGTACCACTATGCCCAGTCAGTATAGCACCTTCTCTGTCTGTACTACATATACGTTTTATAATGAGTATTTCTTCTTAGAGATTAACTTTTGTAGATTAAAAATGAAATTTTAGGATTTGATTCAAAATATAGGGGAATGAATGGGGGAAATTGACACAATATTGGCTAAGTATTGATAATATTTGACTCCAGCTAATGAATACCTGGCCATTCATTATATTTTCTTCATTTTCAAATATTTTGAAATTCTCCATAATAAAGATACAAGGCTGGGCATGGTAGCACATGCCTGTCGTCCCAGCACCTAGGAGACTGAAGCAGGTGGGTTGCTGCAAGTTGGAGGCTGGCTTGGGCTTTGTGGCAAGACCCTGTCTCAAAAAAAAAAAAAAAAAAATTGAGGTTGAGCTTTCCTGTTCTGAAATCAGAAATACTTCCAAATCTGAAACTCAAGCAGTGATATGACATTGGAAGTTTTGGAGCATTTCGGATTTCAGATTTTCGGGATAGGGGTGCTCAACTAGTAAAGTCTGAAAATATTCTGAAACCAGAAAAACTGTGAAATCGGAAACACTTTCAGTTCTAACCATTTTGAACCTGTTTAATGTGTTGTGCTATTAAAGATTTTTACTGAGAAAGTGTTGAGAAATTAAATATGATAAATAACTAGAAAGACAAGCCATGTTAATGGATCAAGAGATTGATTGATTGATTGATTTTTGAGGCAGGGCCTTACTGTATATCCCAGACTGGCCTTGAACTCACTCTATAGTCCAGGCTGGCATCAAACTCACAGCAATCCTCCTGCCTCAGCCTCCTGAGTAGCTGGGACCACAGGCCTGCCTCACTGTACCCGACTCTATTTTCTTTTTCTTTCTTTTTTTTTTTTTTTT